ATTATAATTAACTAAAATTTAATTACTATTAACGGGTCATTTACACAAAAAACCAAATAATTAATCTATATAATAAATCAGATGTTAAGTCAAAAAATGTGTTTTAAATCAAATTAACACTAAATTCGAGAAAATATTTTGCGAAAATTGTTCACAAGAATTGTGTCAACAAAACACTTGACATTTGCAATACAATAAAAAATAGTATTTAAAGCAAACGTTTATTTCAATTAAAGTATTATTTTATTTTTAATTTAACATCAAAAATGAAATAAGAAAATGATTTTAAAATATAGTTTTATTTGTGTCTTTGTATTACTCTTGAGGCAAACGTATGCCAAGAGTGTGGCCGAAGTTGAAGACAAAGCCAATTGGGCCGAAGGATGGGCTTATGCCGAGGGATCTGGCGGTGGGGGACCGGGCGGTGGAAACACATATCAAGAGCCACAGTACATACCATATCCAAACCCAGTGGGTCCATTGCTACCGAATCCACCGTTTAATAACCCGTGGTCTGAGCCGTGGTCACCACCAGGAGGAGGTCCTCCACCACCTCCACCTCCACCACCTCCGCCACCGCCGCCACCACCGCCACCACCCCCACCGCCCCCACCACCTCCGCCTCCAGGTCCCCCAGGTGGTTACCCTCCAGGCAGTGGTGGCCCAGAGCCCGGATATTGGGGATCCCCTCAACCAGGTTTTGGTGGCGGCAGTAATGGCGTCCAATGGCCCCCTGGCAGCGGAAATCCAGAGCCAGAAGGCGGCGCCGCACAAGTGGTCGGATTACCCCAACCCTGGAATCCTGTCTTTCCCAATAACGGGAAGGTTTAGACGCCATTAGAGATATTATAAACATTTTTTTGTATAAATTATTTAAAATTCTGTAATAAATTGTGTTTAAAAAATTTCTGAATGAACTTTATTTGTGATTTTCATTTGACAACGAGAATAACATAGGAATTGAGAATTTCAAGTCAACTGGCAACTAATTTTCAATAATTCTTAATAGTCATGAATTTTCACGCGATAGATGAAGTACTCGTAGACATACTGATCAGGGGCATTCACGTAATGAAAGGTAATAAGTGAATCACTGCAACAGTCAAATCCCTGGTAAATATAAATCAATATTTTAAAAATTGACTGATTTATGTGAATAATTAAATTAAATACCTGTTTGTATTTATACAAGGAATAGTTGGCCAACCAGGCGGCCTCCTTGTATATGTCACCGTCTGGCTTAAGAAAGTGGAAAGGGAGGAATGGTAGAAAACGTCCCCTACCTAACTTGTCTCTAGTCTCAACAAATTGAACGCCTAACCCCTCCAAACATCTGGCAAAGAGTTAAAAACAAAATTTCTTATAATGTATAAATTATTATTGGTTCATATAAACTATACATATTTCATAAAAAGCTGTGTCCGGGTGAGTGCACAGCCCTCTGAACATACCTCCCAATCTCGATGTCGTCGGCCCCGTCCTGTGATTTCGTGTGACAATGCTTTCTGTCTGTCGTCTCATCCGTTAATCTATTGACCAAACGAGTGATCGTTTCTTTGCTGAATATCTAAACATTAATGAAGAGTCCGCTCATTAATACTGTCTCAACACAAACTCCATTGACTCACATAACCGGCACCTGTATATCAAGCACATAGAAATGAAAGAATATAGTGGCGAAAGTGGTCCAATGGGTGACACTTACCACCGCTGGGATACTTGACATTTTGGTAGACAAATGGCAGGGAGAAGAAGAGCGGGTCATTGGTGTCATAGGAGGACAGGAGGTGTCTTAGGTTCTCGACGATGACATACGTGTCGTCGTCGGCCTTCAAGAACCAGTCGAAGTCATCGACATATTCCTGGAAACCAAAGATAATTCCGTTCCGATTCTTACACCACAGATGGTTGTGATCCTCTTTATCGCACTTGACGTCAATTATGGGATAACTGGGATCTGGTTGTGAGCTCACGAAGTATAGCACATCACACCTCTGTCCCCACGTATTCTTCACGGCTTTAGCTCTCGAGTTGTGATTCTTGGGTTGTGTTGTAATCATACATAGGATTCGTGGCTTTGAGTGAAATATATTTCGCATAAAATAGACATTTATGACAATGAATGCAAACACGATTAGCACCGCAAATGATAATTTGCTATATTTAATAGTAATTGACGGCATATTCACAATTATTTAAACAATTAATTACTGTTTAAAATCTTTCAACACTTGGGCTTATATGCAATCAATTCATTTTAATTAATTAATAGACTAAATATTATCCAAATCATCTAAGTAGTCGGTCTAACTTATTCAAAGTATTAATTCAAATCTGGATTACTTTTATTATTAATAAACTGTTATATTATATAATACTACAGTTCTGTAGTTATAGATTGGCAATAAAATCAATATTTGTAGGTATGATAAGACTAATATACATGAGATAACTCTTACAGTATCACTATTTAAACAATATAAAAATATAACACAGTTGTCGAGAATACCTTCATTTACATGTCTATAAAATATGTTTTTATCTTAATATTACGATAAATAATATTGAATAATAAATAAATGAATAGTAGTGAAGGTGAAATGCTTTTGTGAAAAACACCTGAAAAATAGATTTTGCTTTTAACTGCAAATTGCAACTTATTTTTAATGAGATGTGTTCAGTATATCTCCAGACAATTCAATTTCTGTTGAATACAAGTTTTACATTTAAACTTCATTTTAGTTTCATTCTGAGTCAATGACTGCATATGTAATGAAAACAATCACTTTTAAAAAGGGTCCTATTATTCAATTATTTCTATTTGTAATAATATTAATTATTTTAATGTATGTATTATTAAATTGGCAAAAGCCTGCCTATTCTGTTACAAACAATAGGTACAGGGATTATTTGGAAACAAGTGTTGATTGGGATAGTTATCCAATAGTTTTATCCCAAAATATGAACCGTATTCTGGTTTTAGGCGAACCCAGGACTGGCTCGTCATTCATAGGTTTGACAGTAAACTCAATTGAATTACTTTATAAATGACTTTCTAATTAACTAATCATTTCATTTTCAGCCGATTTACTGCATCAAAGTTGGCCCACATTTTACACGTTTGAGCCCTTGTTTTATATGAAACATAAAAATTTAAGACAAAATCATACCATCGCTAAAGACGGTGTCGACGTTTTGTCTAAAATATTTGATTGCGATTTCAATGGTTTGGAGAAACGATTATTAAATTATATTATTTGGAAAACAGAGGAGTAATTATGGGTTTGATTTTAATGTTTATTAAGCATTATTTAAAACACTAATAAATGTAAAATATAATGAATTTTAAATTTGATTTCTAACAAAAGGAATTTAGTTATGAAGAAATATATGGGAATAAACAAGAAATTGTTTTTCAATCCCGAGGTTAATGAATATGTTTGCAAACGATGCCAAAATCATTTGATTAAATCCATACGAATACGAGTCAAACATTTCGTTAAATTACAACAAATATTGAGTATTTTAATAAAAGTTAAACTTAAAAGAAAATAATGACAATAATGACCACACACTTAGACAAACCGATAAAACTGGTGATGATTGTGAGGGACCCGCGAGGGATCATGAGCTCAAGATATCTACCGGCGATGGACTGGTGTCGGGACGACACGACTTGCGCTGAGATCGATATGCTCTGCGACCGTATGAAGTATGACATCATTTCTCTCATCCAGTTTTACAACCAATTCTCAGGTTTCTAAATAACTATCATATTTTAGATTATGGTATATATCTACAAACTTTGTAAACTTGATTTATTCTCAAAGTGGCCAAAACTAGCCTATACTCTATATGTTATAATGGATATAGGTTAGTTTTTGGCCAGATTGAGAATAAATCAAGTTTACCAATATTACAAAGTATATAACCATTTTAAACACTGATTAATTTATTAAACATTTAGTATGTTAAACTTGAATTAATTAATATTTAAATATATACCGGTATATACAGATCACATAACTCTAGTTCGTTACGAAGACCTGTCACTCAATGCAATAGAAACAGCGAAAAGATTATACAACAAATTAGATCTACATTTCAATGCAGACATAGAGTCATGGATTGAAAGCCATACAAATGACACGACAAAACTGGGTAATCCTTATTCAACGGTCAGAAAGTCTAAATCCGCAGTCTTTTCATGGGTTAAGCGATTAAATGCCACACAAATTGACACAATTCAAGAGAAATGTACCGGTGTCATGGACTATCTGGGTTATAATATAATAGACATTAAAAATTTGCAAGAATTCCGAAATA